GGCCTCCCCAATAGCCTCATAGGGGGGGGGGGGGATTTTGCCATGTTGCCACACTTGTTAAGTTGTAACAGTTATTATTCTAAGTAGACCATTTTAAATTTATTCATACTCGTGTAATTGAAGTGTTTGTCTGTACGTAAAATTGAAATAACGGACTTCTGTTAAACTCAGGGGGTTATTTGAATACTGAGTGCGCGAAAAGTGACGACTAAAGGCATGGCGGGTCGTACGATGAAGTAGACAGTATTAGTGTGGTTCGAAAGAAACCAAAACAAAATGGCGGACGTGGCACGTGGCGGACTTTGGACAATATACTTGCTATGAAGTATCTTTGCTCTCTTGGGGTAATTAAAAATGTTTTGAAAATAAAATCAAAACAAAGTTGTTAAAGACAAATATTTATTGAACATTAATTATTAATATGTAAAGACTTATTTGCACAAAGTCAAAGACAACCTAATACACGTTGGTTAAAATTCGTGCTTTACTCCTAATTTTAGGTATTTTATCAGGTTACACTTAGGTATATGTCAGCTTACTTATGCATCATCCAGTAGTTCATTTTCTCCCACATCACTATCTAAGAGCAATTATAAATGTTAAGTTTACTACGTCATGCGTATAAATCTTAATTCTTTTGAAATAAAATTTCCCCTTTCGATAAGTGTAAGTATCAAATAAAGAGAATTATTTTTTATTTTAAATTTCAAAAGCATTCTTGCTGTCTTTGTCCTATTAACTTAATTATTGCTTACTTTGGTGTTAATTGTAAATTGATCATAGACACCATTTAATCATGTTTGTTATAAATCTTTTATTATATATTTTTAATTACTGCCATCGTAGCATTTTTGCAAAATCCATAACTAGTTGAAAGCTTAGTATGAACTTTATCTCCTTTATCATCAAACCAAAACATGTTCATCATATTTTCACTCTTAACATCCTCAGTCTTCAAAACCTATGACATTTGCATTGTAATGTAGTGAGGAGAACACTAGCATCTCATCAAGCATTAAGAAACACAAGCACTCTGTCATGCTCAAGTCTTTCATTTGCTTAAATATAAATAAGTTTATGCCTGGCTTAATTAGTATTTATTTAAGGACATTTTTAATGTCCGTCTTGAGTAAAGTGAACAATTTACCTAAGAATATATATTTTTAAAGGCTTTTTTTGTTTTTATCGACGTGGCCAAACAATTTGTCTTCGAAATTGTACCATCTTCCACGATATTCATATTATACTGTACTAACTGCACATTCAGGAATATGTGGGTGTGCATAGTCAATGATATCAGTTTTATTGAAATATTATTTCTTAGTATTATTTTTGTTGCTCTATGTGATTATATGGTACCTTCCACAATTTATTAGATTGATTATAGTTTCGCAAATGGTTTGTGAGGTTGTATTATGTATGAGTATGTTATAATACATATATAAAATGCTGATTTTGTAAAAAAAATATATTGATTTACACATTTACAATGGTATAGTGGGCATAAGAAAGTCACTTTTGTAAATTGTTTGTATTTTTAAAAGTATAGTTATTACACACATTTAAAAAAAAGTTTTGTTACCAAAATATGATAACGTTATCAAGTACATATTTTAAAGATTAATAATGCTGCTACAAAATGTATCTTTTTATATTAAGTTAAAGATGTACCACTATTAACAATTAATTGATACTAATTCTTGAAATTATGGAAAAGAAGCAAACCTTTGGAGAGGATTCAATTATCAATGTGCTCTTAAATGGGAAGTAGTTGAGTCTTGTGGATACCACAGTTTTTCTTAGTATTAGACATTGAAGCCGTATTTGTTTTATAAAAGAGAGCCGTACGTTCAATTTATATCTTAAATTGTAAAAGTCGCGTAGAGAAAAAATTTAAAGAAATAAATATATTAACTTTGGCATAGCAATAATGTATGTACAATAATGTGTGTATTGTTGTACATATATATATATATATATATATATATATATATATATATATATATATATATATATATATATACTAATGTATGTACATAAAAACATAAAAAGCTTTCATAAGAATAAAGATGTTTATACTTTAAAATCTAAGAACAAACATAAGCTTGTAACACCAGTTACTAGACTCCACTGAGTCAGTAGTGCTTTTATGGGGCAACATATACGCTTTTAAAACAAAATTTCAGAAAATGTACAAAATTTGTCAATAAATAAGTTGAAATGTTTTATTTAAGGAAAAATGTACAAAAAGTGTTATTATAATATCAAAAAATACATCAATAATAACCCCATCAAAAATGAGGTGATCGCCACCATGCCTGTACTATTAAAATTTATTTAAAAAATGTATAAACAAAATGATTGTAAAGTGAAATATGTTTTAAAAAAACGTCCCGCTGGGTTTCTTGTTGGTTCTTCCCAGGACAGAGGTATATGTAGTAAATAAAACATGACTTTTAATAAGTATTGTGTAATAATCTATATTTAATAATAATAATTCTATTGTATTGTATTCTCTGTAACATAATATATTTCCTAACTTAACTAACCAGTTAAAAAGAATGTGTTTAAAGAAATCAATTGATATTGTGCAAATATTGTTAAATTTAACACATCTAATGTTATTAATTTAGGCAAGAAATTTTTAAACAATAAACATTTTAAATATATCCGGTTTTTATTTTATTAATAGGAACTAGCAATTAGCACAAGAAATATAAAGAACCATTAATTACATTGCAGCACTTGTGCAATGTAATTAATGGTTCTGAACATATAAAATTGTAAAGTGCAAATAAAGGGCGGGCCCAAAGCACTCTTAATTTTACGCCACCTGACGGTTGGGCACGGAACTTAAATAAAACTTGAGTTGCTCATCTATCTCTAGTATGTAGGCAGTAATCTATGCTCACTTCGCGACAAGCGCCTGGATGAACGGACGTGCGTGCCGTCCTGTTATTAAATAAATACGATCTACCAAAAATGCCTTTCGAGTGGATTAATGAAAATACAATAAAGTTTTTAGAACTGCTGGAATCAGAAAAAACTATATGGGATTTTAACGATAAAAACCACAATTCATCATCTTCTACGAATACGAATTTTCTTTTTGAGTTAACATAGTACCTATGTACATAATTAATTATAAATTCGTCAAATTTATTATATTAATATAAAATTTAGTTTAATAAATTAATGAACATTGACATTTTATTTCTAAAAACGATTAGTAACTCATATTGATTATTTATTAATTAAAATGTAAAATAAGTTAAAAGGTAATATTTGCATAATAGCCTTAGATTTTTAAATTATAATTTTATTGTAATTAAAATTACGAATTAGTTTATACTGAAGTGTAATTAATAAAATAATAATAGCTTAACTAATCTCATATAATATTTAATATTATTTATGTAACAATAATATAATAATTCAATTAATAATTTATGAACAATTTACTGTATAAGAATTCAAATAGAGTGGATCTGTATAAGTATTTAATTGTACATAATATTTGAATTCAAAAAGAATGTGTGTACCTAACTTTTAAGCAACATCGGGTTTGTGTAATTAGCTGTATTTCATATCATTTTTCCATGCCAATTATGGCAAAACATGTCAGTTCCACGTCATTGATCATCTTATGTACCATGTTTTTAAGCAAATAAATTTTCTATCTATCTATCTATCTTCTTTTGAACTTGATATCTTTTTAAATTATTAACATAATTTTGTATTGCAAGAAGACACAGCGCGGACGCTGTAATTATTTCGATGTCCGCCATAGTCGAAAGCCGAAAGCGATGTGAGTGGTAGGGCAGAGTGTGAATACACACTTCCCGCGATCCTGCTACGGCAGTATTTAGGGAAGTATTGCTGGCAGCGCGAGGAGCAGTGGCAGTGGCTGAATGTAAATGGGGCTTAAGTGTCGCAGTGTATACATCATAGATTACTGCGTATATACTAGAGAGTATACGTCTTGTGAATGGGACCGTGCTAATATATGGTCAATACACGATTTACTAATTATGTTATTTCTTAATTTAATTCTAGTATATTCCGAGATCCCACTCACAAGTCCGTACGTCGAGAACATTGTTGTGTATTTATGTTTTATAGGTGTTTCCACAGCGACGTCGATGTTTAAATCGCCTATTATAAAAAAGTCTTCGCCTTTATTAATTTTATCGCATGATTGCTGCAATTCGTTTATAAATAGGTGTTTGCTTAAGTTAGGCGGACGGTATATAACGAGTAGATTGCAAGTGTAATTCGTAGGTGTGATTATTTTTGTTAGTAATCCCTCAAAATATAAAGTTTTTGTTATCGTAGTCGACACTTTATGTTTTTTATGTACGTAAATAATAACTCCTCCCTTTCTGTCTTTTCTTAGGTTTACATGAGTGTTATAGTTCTTTAGTTGGAAAAGATCGATTAAATGTTCTGGGACATTCACTTCTGATAGAATAATTAAATCAATAGGGGAGCCAGGGGGAATGGTAGCCAGTGGGCAATGCGGGTCAGTTCAAAATGAATTGAACCTAAAGCTTTACAGAATACAGCTCTGTCACTTGGGGTGTAGCTCCGCACCCCTCCCGCACTGGCCAATAAGCCGGGCCGCCACTCACGCTCGCGTCATCAGGAACAACACATGTGTCATAGAGAAGGAGCCGTTGTAAAATTTTAGAAATTTCGATCGAAAACGTGATTATCTATATTTGTTACTTTTGCATATAAAATAATCTTAAAGTATAGTACTATGACTAAACTTATGTTTATAATTGCAATTTATTAGATTTTTTGGTGTTTTTATTTAATAATTCAAATCTAGCAAACAAACCGTCCTTGGGGTAATGAGAGTTAGTTGACCCCCATTCCCCGCATCGTTTTTCATTATAAATAAACATTTTTGTTCATTTCAGACGTCAAGGAACTGGATTAGAAAGACCTTTAAAGCGAGTTGGACTGTAGGCAACTTGCAGTCAGCTGCTGTATGCATGAGACAAGGCGGAAATGCGCAAAGTTGCCGAGGAAACTCGTATTCCTTTCAGCACATTACAAATAAGGATAAAGATAAATTTAAACCTCTAAAATTAGGAAGGCATGCCGTTTTTAACGAAGAGCAAGAAAATATACTTACAGAAAGTGTTTTACAATTAATTTGTTTTTTGGTTTAACGACATATTAACTAAGAAAAATAACATTTCAATGTGCTGAAAATTTAAAGCTATCTCATAAATTTAATAGAGATGCTAAAATGGCTGGCAGGGACTGGATCCAAGGATTTCTTAAGAAAAATCTACGAAGCATTCGAAATCCTGAAGCTGTAATTATACAGAGAATTGCAGGATTTAATAAAACCGAAGTGACTAAATCCTCTGATGTTCTCTGTGTTTAAAATATTTCTGCCACCATAACAGATTTAAGAGTTAATGAAGTTTCAGATAACCATTCAACTAACAAAATTTCAGAAGCAACAGCATCAACTAGCAGTAGGAACGTTATAGGACCGCAACCTTCTACAAGTGTTGATATTACAAATTATAAACCAAATGATATTATAAATCAAGAGAACAATAAATCCGACAGTGAACCTCTAGCTAGCGTACTTTCACAACTAATACCTCTGCCTAGCATTGATAAAGGTAAAGGCATAGGGAAAAAAAAACACATCAATCAGGAATTCTTACTGCATACAAGAGGCAAAGTAATTAAGAAGATAAAAGAAGTTAAAAAGAACTTATTTAAGTCAAGTTCACACATTCGGCTGATGAACAGGTTCCGTATGACGGGAGTGCTGATAGTGACTTAGAAAATATTGAAATCCCGCTAAACATCCAGAAAAACACTCAGAAAGAGCGTGATCAGTCTGTGTGCACGATATGCCTCGAAGAGGGAATACTGAGAGAAATCTGGTACCGTTGCCGTCTCTGTGCTGGATGGGCTCATGAGGCATGTTCAGGATGTGATGATCCAAATCGCTATCGCTGTGATTTTTGCATTTAACTCGATTTATATTTCATTCTTTGTTATGATTCCATGGGGTAACCATTTCTAACTTTTGATTTTTTTTAATTCTTATTTGTTTGTTTATAGAGTTTTGCTACTTTTTTGTTTCATAATTTTGACTCTTATTCCCTCATAGACTGACTTTCATTCCCCTTACATGTGGGTAATAGGAGCCAAAATGACTTTTTGGTTTTTCAATTATAATTATGTTTATGGTAATGATAACCAAAAATACTTAAGTAACTCGATACCTGAATAATTTTTAAAGATAAGTAAATGTGAACAAATTATAAGACTGATTATTAGTGTTTATAATAACGAATTTTCCTTAAGTGACTCCCAATTCCCCCCAACTCCCCTACTAATTGGACAAGTGACTATAATGTGTTCTAAACTAGAAAAATTTGAAATTATTGACCTTATGTTAAAGTGGATACACGTTAGATTAGTTTTATGGGGAATTTTATGAATAAAGTCAGTTAGGTTAGTACAGTTTTTCAATTCAGTTACGTTATTAGGTAAATTCATTGTTATTATTCTGAATATGCGGAAATGTATTTAAGCTTAAAAAAAATTTAGAAAAAAGGGAATATGCGTTGATATATAAATATACAGTCAATACTTTTAGCGAATTACCTACTTAGGCTCTAACTAGTCCGGCAATATCTTCTTCGCGACGGATTATGATGATGTCACCTTTTTCTTCTTTTCGTGCTCGGGTGATACCTCGTTTACACCATACGTATTTGTAGGTTGGTTTTAACTTTTGTTTCGCCTCCCATAGTAATTTTCTGTTATAATAAGATAGAGTAAATAAATAAGCTTAAGCGTATGTAAATAAGCTGTTTCCCTGTCGCCTCCGACAAGTTATCCACGATATCATGAGCATATAGCTTTGAATTTTTCGCTGCAGTGATCCATTTTGTTGATGTTGTTTCATTTTTAAATGTAATTTCAATATTTCCCGGCTTTTCTTTTTTTCCTGGTACACGTTTAGTAGTGTCAATATCATCAACAGAGATTGATAATTTATCTGCAATTTTTTTGACAATGTCGCTTACTATTTCCGTGTTATTATGAGGGATATTTAATATTTCAATTTGTTTGTTTAGCTGTGACTGTTCAATATCCTTCAAACGTTGCTCTAGTGCACCAACGCGCGTTTCTAAATAATTATTTTAGTTAGAGAGTTCTACATTTTTCTTCTGTAGTTCTTTCATTGTTAACTTTAATGCATCTATAGAGACTGTCATCTCGTCCATTTTATCGCTTTGATGTTGTAGACATTTCACTATGTCTCGCAGTTCTCTTTGAAGGGTTTTTTCTATCTCTTTTGATATATCTTTCAATAACCGCTTGATATCAATTTGTACGTTTTTGGAATAGTTTCCTGTATCTTGAGCATTATCTTCCTCTTCCTCTTCGTCTTCATCACTGGGAACGTATATAGAGCTACGTCTCGGGGAATGTTTAAGACAATCTTGGCATGTTCATCCTAGATTCTCAGCGGCCTTTAGTGCATTCTTTTGCTTGTTAGTAAGACCAGAGCAGTTCCCATTTAAGTGAACTATTTTCTCGCACTAGTTACATTCTATTCCAGGATTACTTTTGGTTATATTTTTTCCACATTTATCACATTTTGTCATGTTGAGGGTAGATTAATACTTAGCTTGAGGAACTAACTTAACGTGCTTTTAGATCAAATGAACGACGACGAATCAGTTCAGCATATAATCGAATCATTTCAGCGAAAATTTACAAACATACGAAAATATAGATCAGGACCTGGTCACAACCGCTTCACTTACTGATGAAGACATTATTGATTCAGTGTCAAAAAGTAAAGAGGAACAAAATCAAGATGATCAAGTGGACGATTCTGAACCATCACCAACTGTTCAACAAGCACTTGATGCCGCCAAAGTTGTAGAAAAAATCTTATTGTTTCATGAAGATGGTTCCACCACATCCCAAGACATGCACAAAATACTTGAAAAAATATAAAACAAATATTGGCATAGCAAAACACGTCAGGCAAAGTTAACAGAATATATGTGCTTAGAATAATTTACCTATTGATAGTAATAAAATTTGAAATTATTCATCATCATTATCATCATTCACAGCCTTTCACAAGTCCACTGCTGAACATAGGCCTCCCCCAAGTAATGCCACAAAGCACGGTCCTGAGCCACCTGCATCCATCGACTTCCTGCATATCTTACCAGGTCGTCACTCCATCTAGTGGGGGGTCGCCCTGCACTACGCCTACCGGTACGAGGCTGCCACTCGAGAACCTTTCTTCCCCATCGGTTATCGGTTCTTCGAGCTATATGGCCGGCCCATTGCCACTTCAGCTTACTAATCCGTTGGGCTATGTCGGTCACTCTGGTTTTACTGCGGATATCCTCATTTCTGAGTCTATCACGCAGAGAAACTCCGAGCATAGCCCTCTCCATAGCTCGCTGAGCGACCTTGAGCGTCCTCATACGGCCAGCAGTGAAGGACCACGTCTTAGATCCGTAAGTCATCACTGGCAACACGCACTGGTTGTACAATCCAGTTTTTAGAGATTGAGGTATACCTGACGAGAAGATATGTCGTAATTTCCCGAACGCTGCCCAGCCGAGTTGAATCCGTCGATTGACCTCTCGGTCGAAGTTGGACTTACCTAGTCGGACTATTTGTCCCAGGTAAACGTACTCGTCAACAACTTCGAGCATAGTGCTTCCAAAAACTACCGGCATAGGTGTGACATGGACATTAAACATAATCTTTGTTTTGTCCATGTTCATCTTAAGACCTATCCGTTGGGAGGCACTATTGAGGTCATTGAGCATAGTGCTTAAGTCCTCCAGCGATTCTGCCATAAAGACTATATCGTCGGCAAATCGCAGGTGAGTGATGTACTCGCCATTGATGTTAATACCGTATCCTTTCCAGTCCAGTAGTTTGAAAACGTCTTCCAATGCAGCGGTGAAGAGTTTCGGGGATATAACGTCACCCTGTCTTACACCTCTCTGCAGTTGGATAGGTTTCGAGCTCTGGTTCTGTACTCGGATAGCCATCGTAGCCCTACTGTATAAACACTTCAGCACTTCGATATACCGACAGTCAACTTGGCACCGCTGAAGGGACTGTAGCACCGCCCAAATTTCAACGGAATCAAAGGCTTTCTCATAGTCCACATACGCCAGGCAAAGTGGCAGATTGTACTCTTCAGTCTTCTGTACAATCTGACGCAGGGTATGTATGTGGTCTATGGTACTGAAGCCTTTTCGGAAACCGGCTTGTTCGGGAGGCTGGAATTCGTCGAGTCTGCGTGCGAGACGATTCGTAATGACTCTCGAAAACAGCACGTAGACGCGGCTCAGCAGGGAAATCGGTCTGTAGTTCTTCAAGAGAGCGTTGTCGCCTTTCTTAAAAAACAAGACCACCGCACTTCTACTCCACGCCTCTGGAGTAATGCCACCATGGAGGACGGAATTGAAGAGCTTCTGAAGGACTTCAAGTACCGGTTTCCACCCGTTTTCAGAAGCTCTGCTATAATTCCATCCTCATGGGGCCCTGCCGTTTTTAAGGTACTGGAGAGCCATTCTAATCTCGTTTAGACTGACGTCCGGGATATCATCGGAATAGTGTCGGATAAGACTTGCTCTTGGATCGTTACTCACACTTGCGTGTGGCTCCAACGATGATGTGTACAGCTGCCCATAGAACCTCTCAATCTCATACAAGGTGTCCCGGAAACGACGCTGCCACACTCAGTCTTCAGCTTTGACAGTTGGCTCTTACTGGCAGACAGATCTCTGGCAAAGACTTTGGAGCCCTGGCTCCGCTCGATCGCTTCTTTAATACGAGCAGTAAAAAGTAAGTTAAAGTTGCGTAAGTCTCGCCGCATGCATTTGAAGATCTGTCTGTTCAGTTGCCTGTATGCTGTCAAATCTGTTGACGATTGCAGCCTCATCTCCCGTCTAACAGCCATGTGATTAAGAGTGTGATCGGAGAGTTTTTGTGTTCTTCTGCGGCGGGTCTTGCAGAACTTAGCTCCGACCGCATGGACAGTTTTCACGAGCTTGTCATTCATATCGTCCACTGCATTGCAATCTTGTAGGCACTGAAAGCGGTTACGTAACTCGAGCTGAAAGTTTTCGGGATTCTGGATTAGAGCACGAGGGGGACGGAGCGTTGACTTCATTAGACGAGACCTCTCCAACTTAACGTTTAGGTTCAGTGTGCCTCTAACCATTTGGTGATCGCTGCCAGTTTTCACCCTTGCGATCACTGAGACATCACTGAACAGTTGGCGTCTGGTCGTCATAATGAAGTCAATCTCATTTTTTGTCGAACCGTCGGGGCATGACCAGGTCCACTTCCTGTGGGGTCGCTTCTGGAAGAAAGAGTTCATCATAAAGAGTCCCTCTTTCTCCATAAAGTCGGCCAGCTGCTGGCCCCTTCGGTTCCGTTGCCCCACTCCAAATTTCCCTAACTTCAGCTCACCGTTTTCTCTTGTGCCCAGTTTTGCGTTGAAGTCTCCCATCAACACCGTGTAGTGGGTTTTGGAGAAATGCGTGGCTTTGGAAATATCCTCATACATTTCCTCCACCTCCTCATCGGGATGTGCCGAGGTTGGTGCGTAAACCTGTATGACCTTCAGCGAATACCGTTTGGTGATTCTGAGTATCAGGTACGCGAGCCTCGTCGACACACTCCCAATATTTACAACGTTGTTGACGATAGACTTGTGGACGATAAATCCGACACCGCCTTGGGACAGATTGAAATTATTGTAATTGATTAAATTTGGTTAATTTTTATCTCTTCGCTCCATATAACGTAGACTCTTTATAACGAAAAAAAACGCTCGGTCCCTTGAAATTCGTTATAAAGAGTTTACACTGTACTTATTTAAAGATTAAGCGCGAAACCACTAACAAAAATATAAAAATAATTACGCTACTGCTTTTATAGGATTTAAATACAGCATGCACCGATAGGAATAAGACAAACACACAGAAACTCGTTTATCTCTTTCGATGCTCAATCGTACTACGACTAGTTAAGACAAGTATCGATGAACCTGTCGATGGATTGCACCAATAGCGTTATTTAACAAAAACTTGTTACGAGTTGATCTCGTAGGGCGTACGGGCTAACCTACGAAATCTATGTTATGTATTTCTAGTTTACATACCGTCATACAGGGCAGAAATATAAACTAATTATTCGATATTGAGTAGTAGGTAGGTTTTCATTTCAGTAAATTTAAAAAAAAGTATCTAAACAAAGACATTTAAGTAGTAGTCTTTAACTTATATGTTCTGTAATTGGACATTAAGGAGTCCCTTTTCTTTTTTAAATCTGTCACAGGAATTTCCATCATTGCACTAATTCTCAGCCATGCATCATGTACCTTATTTTTGTTGTTATGATCTCCATGTTGGGCTTGCCAAAGCACGGGCTCAGCATGATAATATTCAAGGAACGTTAGCTCCCGATCATTACTCGATACTCATGACGTCCGCTTGTCACTGCGTCTCAGACACAACTGCGAACATACCCGAGTGTGAATGCGTACGCGTTCACTCTTCGCAGACCCCTTGGCGCGGGCCAAAAAACCGCCACCGAACGGGGAACGCCGCGAAGCGTGACCGCGAAGTCGCGAAGCCATCCCATTCGCGGTTCGCGCCCTTCGCGGGTGTTCACGGCGCGAATGTGGAGCCGCCTTTAAGAAAATACTGAGTCATTTAGAAAGTCGCGTTCACAGTGACCAGTTGAAGTCAGGCCGTCGAACAAAACGGTTGTGTATTTTGCGTGTTACTCGTTCAACATTAAATTTTGAAAATGAATACCTCACCTATTCGAAAGAATAAAAGTGGATCAATAATCCATAGCGGAGAGAGACGCGTAATTTACAATGTTTATAAGTACTTTAAACTGTGTGATTTAAATGCGACTGTGGAGAGCACAGTAATAAAAACAGCAAGTGCATGTGGTGTGTCCGAAAATAATGTTTATAAAATTATTAAAGAACAAAAGGATACTAACACATTAAAATCACCCGTGAAAAAAAGAGCTCGACTATCGACGGTCGATAAATTAGATGAACTAGACAAATTGTGCAATAAGGAGAAAAGTTCACTTAATATATTTAACTAACGACTACCCGACATTGGACGAAATTATGAGACTTTGCGAAGCTGACAAAGATATTCCTGTTTTCAAACGTACCACACTTCATAAGATAATTCACGAGCTTGGTTTCGATTTCAATAAACAGGATAGCAGAACATTGTTAGTCGAAAGAGAAGATATTGTTTTATGGAGGCGTAAATATCTGAGGCAAATAAAAGAATACAGAGCCGCTAATAAAACCATTTACTATCTTGACGAAACGTGGGTACATACACAAGTGGTGCCAGCTCAGATGAAGTTTATAAACCTATACGGTTCGCCTATGAAACATGAATTCATTTCTTGGAGGAGTGGCATGTTATAAAACAATAAATACTGTAAGTATGTTTTATTTGGTAATTAAAATATTCAAAATCTTATACCTATTTATTGTCTACACATATCTATCTGCCTACTTACAAAATATTTTGTAAACTCGTCTCTTATGTCACGGGCATTCAGAGCCGATCGGCGAGCTGTAATTGTAATATTGCGAACAGCACAAGTAGCTTCGATTTCATGTCTCCAGGAGCCAGGTGTAATTAGTATGCCATTTTCATCATAAGTGTCTATGTTTCCGGGCGGTGTATAAATATGTGACGAAGTAACACTTTTTCGTAAGAAGTTATGCAGTAAAATACATGTCATTGTAATCAGAGAAACTTTTTCTGGGTTAAATGGAATCGGTTTTTTAAATATTCTAAATTTGTTACAAGAATCCTAAACGTATTTTCTACTACAACCCGTGATCTTGACAGATTCTGATTAAAAATACGTTTTTTGGTGATCCTGAATCATGATTACCCGGATAAGGTTTCATTACATGTGTT